GGCGGGAGCCGCCCCCCACAGCCGCCGCAGCCCCGGCTGTCCCGGGCACTTGGGCTCTGGCGCGGGGCCCCCAGCACGATGCCGGCCGCGCCTCGGGGTGGGGAAGGACCCGAGGGTTTCACCGCCAGCCAAGGGGAACGATGCGGGACGGGGCCAGAGCCTCCGCCGGGGCAAGCGACGTGGCTGCCCTGGAGTGGAGCAGCCGGCCCGGCCCGGCCCGGGGAAGCGGGCTGCGCTCACCTCTGGCGTACAGGTTGGAGAAGTCCGTCTCGGCCCGCCTGAACCTGGATTCCTTCTCGCTGTTCTCGCAGGCCAGCAGGTTCTTGGAGGACTGCCTTTCCTTCAGGGAGCTCACGATCCGGCTCTTGTCCTCCAGGCTGTTGTTCCGTTGCAAGAACCCTACATGGTTATTGCAAGGGGCGCAGGTTAGGGTCTTCTCGCTGCCCAGCATGTTTAGAGACATTTCAAGCAGCTCCCCAGACAACAGTGCAAAGCAGAGTTCGCTCTGGATCTAGCTAATGAGGTCGGGAATAAGCGTATTTATGGGGATTGTTTGCCTCGAGGAAGGAAAGCTCGAAATGACATCGACTGCAGAAACCCAACCATGCAAAAAAACAAATTCTCGTCATTTAGTGCAGTGGTAAATTCTTATTAAGTCGATCAGACAGATTCCACTTCAGTAACCAGCCACGGGAAGAGTTCAGGATGAGTCAATGCTATTGCACCCTGCAGGCGGAGTTTATGGACCTCGCAGGCAGAGGGGCAATGGCGTATGATTAAAATCAGGGCCACTCGGTTTCCCTCCTCGTGTTGCCATCACGCAAAGAAAGGATGGCAGCAGCTGGCTGAGTTGAAAGGGCCTTCGGGTCTAGAAGATACTGAGGGCACTGACCACTCCGACTCCCCTCTGACTGTTGGGGGAGAGGGGCTAACATCGTGAAAATACGAAAAGATGCCGATTTTGAAAAAAACAAAACAAAAACCCCAAACAAACCCCAAACCCGTATTGTTTATGAGGGGAGTCATTTTTTCATAACTTCCGAAAAACAGTTATTACTGGAGATAGAGCCCTACAGCGCTAATGCCCGCGGTCCGAGGTGTCATTTCAGAGGCCCTGGGACCATGGGAACTGGGCTATAAAGTCGTGTTAAATTGCAACATCCCGCTTCATTAATGAGAAACAAAGATCACCCCACTTGTCATTTTTTGTTGCATTAAGCTCAAACCGACTCAAACGAGAACATGTCAGATGTCAGAAACCCTTCCCGGGGAATCAGGGCTCCCGGAATGGCACGTGGATGCTATTTCCCATACAGCGCCCAGATGCGTGATCCCGAGCGCTGCAGAAACTCCGGCCAAACCCCGTCTGCTCCGCTCGGATTGCACTACGGGGCCTCTTGGGGCAGCGGTAACGTGACATAACCAAGCGGGCCACTGCAAAACTGAGCGAGGTCTGCGAGCCAGGGCTTCCCACTGGCCAGCCAGCCCGCCTGCTTGGAAGCGGGTCGTGCATCTTCCATCAGCCCTGACTTGGAATCAATCAAAAGAACCTCGTTTCGCCGAGCTGCTGGCTCCCTTCACCCACTGCTGGTGACCGAGCTCTCCCAGGCCGCCTTCTCGCCTGCCTCCACACACAGCTGGCTAGTGAGGGCCAACCTGTCCTCGCCAAACCTCCAGGGCCTGAGAAACACGTCGTCCCGTATGATTGAGCACTTGCCGAAGGGCAGGGAGCAGCTACCCCTTGCTTATCGGCAGGGGAGAGGGCAGGGAAGGGACTCTACTACCAGCTTCAGCGAGGGACAGGCCATTTCCTCCCTGGACCTCCCTCCTCTAGTCCGAGCCAGCACAGCAGGGAGCACTGAAGAGGAAGTGATTCCTTGGGGAGCTGCCTGTCCTGGAAGCCCCTCATTTTGTGTCTCAAATTACTTAAGGGAAATGGAGCCGAGACAATAGCCTTTATTACCCGGGCAATCTTGGGTCACTGGAACATCTGGCACATAAGCCTTCTCCCAGGGGAGGGCTTCTTCTATGCCAGAGCCTTTCCCAGGATTTCTTTATCCTCCACACTGCCATGTGATAAGCATCTCTGCACGCCCTAGCGACTCTTCCTCTGCCCTCAAGTGCAGTTAGGAACATGACCCTCTAAAGTCAGAAGAGTTCAGTAAGGGGGGTCTCAGACGTACTGCAAAGCACCTGCCGCCGTTCCTCGTTTAAAATGAATTATTTCTAACAATAAAACCGAACTCCTATAACAGTGTCAGTAAGTGATCTGCTAATAAAGTGAAACAGGTTGCAGCATTTATTGATGTTGAAATAATAGGTACAAATTAGGCATGCATCCTACAGTGACTCTCTCTCTCTCTCCAGGTAATAGGACCTGACTTGTTTTACTCTCTTTGAAAGGAATCCAATTATTTTTTTCCTCGGAAGGTACTAGATTAGGTGGAAACGTGTACTACAAGAAGTCACCTAAACAGACATCTACTCAGAAAAAAGTCATGATTCCTCACTGTTGCACGCCTCCGATAGCGTTAAATATTAACATATTATCAGGGTGAAAACAACCCTATCTTTGGAAAGATTTCCGATAGCAAAACATAGGGGCAGAGCCTTCATTACGGACGAAGGTCGTCACCACTTCCTGAAAGGCAGAACATTTTATTTAATTTCTTAATTTTTTAATCTGGTGAGAAGGGTCGTCTTGCTGCTAAAGGGACGGGGCTGCCCCTGCCGGGTGGTCTCAGTGACTCACTTCCCAGATCGATCTCGGGAGGTAGCATCACCCTCAAGAGAGGGAGCCTTTGACAGGAGTGTCTCCTTCCTTACGTTGGAGAACACGCCCCGGACCTCTCCTGCCCACCTTGCCTTCTAAATAACCCCAGCCTGACATAATGAATGCAGGCAAACCAGATCAATTCTGGATCAAATCAACGGCTTTACAGGTGAACTATTAATACCTAGCAAATGAAAGCTTCAGCCGTTTCGTGAGTGCACATTCATAATTTAAGGATGAGTTAGCTTTTGTCAGTCTTGAGTCCAACACACGAGGCTCATGCTCCTGGGTGGGATTTCCTAGTTACGTGGTACCCAAAACGCGGGCACATCTTGCATTTTTTGCTCACCCAAAGCTTTCAGCTAAATCAGTAGACATTTTGAGTGAGCAAGAATGACCAATCAGGGCTGTGCATTAGGATCTATTTATAGTCCCACTTGGACTAAGATGTCACGCATTATTGAGCACCTTGGGGAGCAGAGACTAGAGGACAGAGTTACAAAGGGCCTCCTGCATTGAGGGACCTGTTGCCGCTTTACATCTGCTTACATAATTTACGGAGTTCTCTCAACCACAATACTATTTTAATGGAACTTGGTGATTTTATTACATAAGGGCAATCAGATTGATTAAAGCTGCCCCCGGAGGGAACAGCCTACTGCCCTGCGATTGGCTGGCTCCATCATGCGAACTTCCGGTCACATCTCCTGGTTTCTAGTCCTCGCCTCTGAACTGGCGACTCGGAACAGGGAACACGCAGAACGGGAGAGGAGTCGATCGTGTATCACCGTGCTCGGAGGCTCTTTCCATGCCTGACAACAAGCCCATGAATACATGGGAACCTTTGTCTGTACCCAGTTTACGTACATAAATGAATTCTGCTGGAAAGACACTGCAAGCAGCAGCGCATACATTACTGGCCACACTATTTGTCGTCTAGGTGAGACTACCAAAACCTCTCCTCCCCCCTGTTACAGTCAACATTAAACTGCAAGTTATTTTACTAGATTGCATTAATAGGCGTAGGACGTTTAAAAAGCTCGTTTTTTCTCAGAGTATTGACAATTTGAGTCCGGAATTTCGGCATAATCGCAGACAAAATGCAAAGGAGACAGTAGCATTTTCACACCACAGGAGGGAGGGAAAATCCCACAAAAATCGAGTGTAGGAAATCTCCATAGAGCTGGTTTACATCGCGGATCTATTCCAGATGATCGACTCCAGCTTCTGTCCCAGAATCACAACAGTATTCCTCAATACACGCTCCTGATTTTCACTAAATCCTTCACAAACCGATATCCCCTTTTCAAAAGCTCCTAACTGAATTAGGAGGTGAAGTCTCCTAATTTTTCATTTGGGCTCCTTTGAAAACAAATGCACCCTACCGTGTTGTTAGTTATTCTGCAGAGCACCATTATCAGGTCAGGGAAAGCGGACTGGGGTTGCTTTTGAAGAGGTACCCGAACAATTTTTATTAAATCTAGCCTTTCTTCTGATTTCAGGGACAATAGTGTCACGTAGATGCTGGCAGCCTGGGGTCATAATGAATGACTGAGGGACGAATTGTAGCCAACAGTGAAAAAGCCCGCAATCCCAGCCAGCTTTGCTGACAATGAAAATGCATCAAACCATTCACAAGATTTTTTCCCCCCATTTCAGACTTGAAAAGAAAGCAGTCTTCCTTAACTAGGCCAATTGATTGGGAAAACGATGCCACACACACATCTTGGCCACGCAGCTGATGAAAATATTTTTTTTTCATTTAAATTAAAAGTAAAGTGATGTTTCCTCCTTTTCTTTGCGATTAACCCTATTCTGAACCTTATTTAAAATCTGCATTAAAAATAATCGACATAAAAAGCAGATCTGCCCGACACACAGAGATAAACGATTCGGAGGTTTCTAGTTCCTTGTAACTCCATCATGCGGAGCATCATCGTGTGGATTTAGAGGAATGGCAGGTATCAGTCCAAAAAAAGTGGAAATCTAATAGTAATGATTGCCATAATACCACTACTGCAAAGGACAACAGTAATATATGCCTGTAATTAAACTAGTACTTAGCAGCAGGAAGGTATTATTTAGTTACCACAGGTAACTTTTATTAGTGAGTATGAGTTACACAGACTGTGATTACATATAAACAGCGGCTGGGTTAAAAACCCCCAAACAATTAGTGTACAAGATGAATTACCCTGTATTACCACTGTATAATTTTAGTACGTATAAACCAGACGAGTAATAAAGGGAACAGCACTGAAAGCAAAGAGCGAGCCTGCAATGAAATGCAGATTCCCTTTATTACTTGTCTGTGTTTGTTTCCAAACGAGCTTGTTCTTTGTTTTGAAA